TAGCCCCCTTTTGAAGACCCCCAGGGTAGAAGCAAGCACCAGATCAGTTCCAGATCCTAGCCACCTTGACAGTGAAGTAGTGTCTCCTGATATCCAGCTTGAATCTACTCTCAGTCAACTTATGGCCGTTATTCCTTGTTACTCCCGGTAGTGCTTGGGGGAACAGGGACTCTCCCATTGCCTGTTGGTCCCCCCTGACTAGTTTGTAAATGGCCACCAGATCCCCTCTCAGCCTTCTCTTGTGGAGGCTGAACAGGTTCAGGGGCCTTGCTGCCCTGAATCATGTGTGTGGCCCTCCTATGCACCCTCTCAATGCTGGCCATATCCCTCCTGAAGTGCAGCACCCAGAACTGGACGCAGTACTCCAACTGCAGCCTGACCAGTGTCGCATAGAGGAGGAGGATCACCTCCTTGGACCTGCTTGAGATGCATCTGTGGAAGCATGACAAGGTGCAGTTGGCCTTCCTGACCATGTCCCCACACGGTCGGCCCATGTTCATTTTGGAATCAATAATGACTCCAAGATCATTTTCTGCCTCTGTGCGGATGATAAGGGAGTTTCCCAGCCTGTAGGTCTGCTGCTGGTTCTTCCTCCCCAGGTGCAATACCTTGTACTTGTCAGTGTTGAAACCCATCCTGTTCTCATCCGCCCACCCCTGTAACCTGTCTAGATCTAGTTGCAGCCTGTCCCTCTCCTTTAGTGTGCCCACTTCCCCCCACATCTTAGGGTCATCCGCAAATTTGAACAAGGTGCTTTTCATCCCCTTGTCCAAGTCACTGATGAAGATGTTGAACGGTGCGGGCCTGAGGACTGAGCCCTGGGGGACCCCACTGCCCACATCCCTCCAGGTCGAAAATGACCCGTGCACCACCACTCTCTGGGTGCAGCCTTCCAGCCAATTTGCAATCCATCTGACTGTGTAGGTGTCGATGCCACAGTTGCCTAATTTCTTAATGAGGATGGGGTAAGAGACAGTGTTGAAGGCCTTCCTGAAGTCCACAAAAACTACGTCCACCATGACACCTGTATCCAAGAATTTTGTGACCTGGTCATAGAAGGCCACTAGGTTGGTCTGACAGGACCTGCCTCTAATTTACCCATGTTGGCTGCCCCTAAGCATGATCTTCTCTGCTGTTCCCTCGCAGATGTGCACTTGGATAATTTTCTCAAAGAGCTTCCCCAGGACCAAGGCAAGACTAACAGGCCTATAGTTTCCTGGGTCCTCCTTCCTCCCATTTTTGAAAATGGGAACCACATTGGCCCTTTCCAGTCCTCTGGCACTTTGCCAGATCACCATGAGTGCTCGTAAAGCTGTGCCAGGGGTCCCGCAATGACTTTTGCCAATTCAGCACTCTGGGGTGGAGATCATCAGGACCAGCTGATTTGGACACGTGCAGTCCCTCCAGAAGTTCCCTGACTGACCCTGGGCCTGGCTGAACCTCCCCTGGGTCTGTCGGGGATCCCTGCTCAAAAAAATGGAGGCAAAGAAATTGTTAAAGAGGTTAGCTTTGTCACCTGGTGTAACAACCAGATTTCCTAGTGTCCTGCAGAGGCCCCACGTTACCCGGAGCCTTCTTTGATCTGTGTTGGGATTGCCACCCTTTGGGCTTGGATGATCGTCTCCTTAAGGAACAACCATTCTTCCTGGACTCCTGACTCCCCTCCCCTCCCCTCCGGGACCTCACTGCCTCCCCCACTAGTCTCCTTAGCTCAATGACCTGGCTGACTGCTCTTCCCAGAAGATGTCCAGATAGTTTAGGTCACCCATGATGATCACGTCCCTTGACTTAACTGCCTCCACGAGCTGACCTGAGAATTCCTTGTCCATCTCTTCCCCCTGGTTGGGAGGTCTGTAGTAGACCCCACCGTTAAGTCCCTTTCCCCCCGACCCCCTTGTATTCTACCCCAGAGCACTTCAGTCTGCCCCTCCTCTGACCCAGTGCTGTTTGCTGAGGATATGTATTGCTCTTTGACACAGAGCGCCACACCCCCACCTTTCCTCCCTCTTCTATCCCTCCTCTACAGCCTATAGCCCTTGATGTTTACCACCCAGTCGTGTGTTGGATCCCACCATGTTTCAGTGAGATCCACTATGTCTGGCTTTGTGTTAGCTAGCAGGAGGGCAACTTCCTCCTTCTTGTTCCCCATACTATGAGCATTAGTGTAGAGGCATTTAAGGCCTCCTGAAGGTTTATTCACTGCCACACCCCCAATCCCAGGATTATCTGGGCCACTGTCTCTTAACTGGGTATTTCTTGTGCTCGTCGTCAGTCTTGGCTGGGCTGTTCTTGTGGGTGGCTCTTGGTTCGGTGTTCTGTGGCTCCCTCCATTCTCATCCACCCCTTCCTCTGATGAGCCTAGTTTAAAGCCTGCTGGAGGAGATCGGCCAACCTGAAAGAGAACACACGCTTACCTCTGGGGGAGAGGTGAAGCCCATCCCACCCGAGCATGTCTCTTGTCCTTTTTGGTCATAGTCCAAGAAGCTGAAGCTTGCCTCGAGACACCATTTCCAAAGCTGCAAGTTGAACTTCCTGATGCAGATCTCTTGGCACCGTCCATGTCCTCTCACTGGAAGGACAGATGCGAAGACCACCTGTGCCCCTGTCTACTTTAGCTTTCCCCCCCCGAGCTTGGCAGTCCTTCATCAGTCGATCAGGGCTGCTCCTGGCCGCATCATTAGTGCCCACATGGATTAGGACCATGGGGTAGTAATCAGTGGGCCAGATAATGGCTGGGATCATCTCTGGCACATCCTGAATTCTCACTCCAGGCACACAGTAGACCTCATGTGTCATGGATCCTGGTGACAGATGGGACCCTCTGTACCTCTCAGGATGGAGTACCTATGACGAGCACTCAGTGTCTCTTTTTCTGGGTCAACTTGTCTCCTTCAGCCTGTTCTGTGCATGGAGTGGTCTCCTCTCCAGAGGTTTCCTCCTTCTTCCTTTTCCTCCAATGTCACCAGGGCCTCATACCTGTTCCCCAGTTGTGTTACCCTCCTATGATCGATGTCCTATATAAGAAACGGAAAATTCCACTAGTTGTCTGAAGAAAGCCTCATCTACCCCATCCTCTTGGTCTGGTGGTCTATAGCAGACCCCCACCACGACATGACCCTTTTTGCTCTCCCCTCTGACCTTAACCCAGATACTTTCAACAGGTCTATCTCCAGTTTCCTGCTGGAGCTCTGAGAAATCATTCAGCTCTTTTACATACAGAGCAACTCCTCTTCTTCTCCCCTGACTGTTCTTCCTGAACAGTTTGTCCATGCATTCATGTACAGAAACCTGAGATAACTAGCCAACTGCCCTACTTTCTCAGAGAGAATGATGAGGCCCCCCCATGTTGCCCTCTCCTCCTCCTGCTTCCTTTGGGTTTCCCCCTTCCCTGCTTAGGTGGCTTTTTTCTCCATCAACTATCAAACCTAGTTTAAAGTCCTCATCACTAGGTTAGCAAGCCTGCCTGTGAAGGTGTTCTTCCCTCCCTTTGCCAGATGGATCCCATATATTTACAGCAATCTTTCTTCTTGGAACATCATCGCATGGTTGAAGAAGCCAAAACCCCACAGGTGACAGCATCTGTGCACCCAGCATTGATCTACAGGATGAATCTGCTTCTGCCTGGGCCCTTCCCTTAACCAGAAGGATCAAGGAGAACATCACCTGAACCTCCATTCCCTTCACCTTTGCACCCAGAGCCGTGTAGTTACTCTTGATTTGCTCAGCCCCCCCCCCCCCTGGAAATATCATTGGTGCTCACATGGATGAGTAGAAATGAGACAGTGGTCTGAAAATGCTCCTTACCCAGGAATCTTGTCAGAGCCTCCTGCAGCTTGTTCTCCCCAGGGAAATCTTGGATTCTCTTCTCCAGCTAAGGGAACTTGGGGGCTGGATGCAGAGGTGTTACCTTGTCACCCTTGAAGAGACATTTGGGCAATTCTTCCTCTTACTCCTCAGCCAGAAGTTCCCAGCTCCTCAAAACTACAAAGGAAAATGATTGGGAGCTGGGGCCACAGGGCAGAGGCTCTATCTGACAGGCCAGTGCAGTCTGCTGGCTCCCAGCCCTGGGCACTGGGAAGAGATGTTTGTCATCAGAGGGTTTCACATAGTTATTCCATCAGTGCTCAACCAGCAAATCCTTCTTGTGCAGCCACAGCTCATGCCAGGCACTGTTCCCTGTTACAGCTTGTACCAATGTCAGAGGGAAAATCTGTATTAGGAAAGAACTGGTTACTGGTGTAACTGTGTCTAATCCCAGGGATTTTGCCCAAAGAGCTGCACTGTGTTGCAGTTGAGGATGTTCAAACTCCTAACAGGCCCTTGCATTGGTGCAGTCTCACAGAAAATGCAGACCAGGCAGTGGTGACCTGAGCCTCCTTGACATATGACCTGAACACAGGTCCACCCAGAACAGGGAGAGGCTGCTTTTGGGACTGAGGGGGCCACTCTCCAGACTCAGTTGCTCCTCAGTTTGATTCTAAGCCAGCAAGGGGACTGGGCTCTCATGAGGTCTCTGCCCATGGGTACTGTCCCACTGGGGCCTTTGCTGAGACACTCAGTTCCCTTCCCACAAATCTCGGACAGCACAGATTTCAACTACTACAGAGGCCAGCTCACTCCCAAGCACCAGGGAGGGGCTTATTCAGTGCTGCTTGTAGTAGTATGGGTGTGTGTGTGTGTGTGTGGGGGGGGGGGGGGATGTTTTACACAATGGCCACCAGGAAGGACCTCCCTACCTACATCATCCCTGCTGCAGTCCACCCCAGGGGAACCAGCCCCTGGGGCAGTCCCAGACCCTACAGAGACTATGTAGGGGGAGGACTGCTGCTAACCCTTCCCTGCTCTGGCTGTCTCTCTGGTGGTTGTTACACTAGAGCCTCCACCCAGCCCTGCTGAGAGCAGGGTGGGAAAGGCCCTGCCCTGCCCCAGGCTGCACAGGCTGCTGCACTCAGGGAAGTGAAACCCATTTGCATCTGCTCTTCCCCAGGAGCAGAGGAGCCATGGCTGCAGGGGACCTGGCAGGGAAATTCCAGGAGGAAGTGACTTGCTCCGTGTGTTTGGACTATTTTATGGATCCAGTGACTCTTGGCTGTGGGCACAACTTCTGCCGTGGCTGCATCAGCCAGTGCTGTGGGGAGCTGGAGCCAAATGTCTCCTGCCCCCAGTGCAGGGAAACGGCCCTACAGAGAAACCTCCGGCCCAACAGGCAGCTGGGCAATGTGGTGGAGTTGGTGAAACAGCTGAGGCTGCAGGCGGGGAGGGAGCCAGAGGGACAGCGTGTGTATGAGAGGCACCAGGAGCTCTTCTGCCAGGAGAATGAAGCCCCCATCTCCCTGGTGTGTGATAGATCCCGGGTGCACAGAGATCACACTGTGGTTCCAGTGGAGGAAGCTGTCCAGGACTGCAAGGTAGGGAACAGCTGTCCCTGGCCTGGGAGTCAAAGCTTCACCTTCTCTTCAGTCAGGCAACCCTGTATGTGTCTGATCAGCCTGGTCTAGAGGTGGGAATGGCTGAGAATCGGGCCCAGGCACATGGCTGGAGACAGTGATTGTGGGGAGGGACTGGGAATGTCCAGCCTCTCTGGCCTCAGTTTCCTTGGAGCTGGAGGTGATCGCTCTGGGGCTCAGAGCTGTGGGCAGTGATCACACAGCCTCACTCTGTGCAGGGAGGGTTTTATTGCTGGACACAAACCGAGGGCCCCAAACCAGGCACCAGATCTATGTTCTGTATTTACAGAAGCGGATCCGGAGCAACCTGGAGTCCCTGAAGGAGGAGAGAGAGATGCTGCAGGGCCTGAAATGTGCATGGGAGCAGGAGAGTGAAAGACTCCTGGTATGTGCCAGGCCAGGGACAGCAGCAGTAGCAGCGGGGTGGGGGTCTCTATGTCTGTACAATTGGGAGGGTCAGAGAGATTTTCAGCGCTGATGCACTGAAAGCATTTGGGCTGAAGTGAATGCTGCAGGGCCAGCTCCACTCTCACTTCCATGGTGTAAACCAGGGGTGATGGCACTGGAACCAGGATGATTTTGAGTGTTTAGGCACTGGCAAGGACAGCAGCATCTGCCGAGTTGCTGGGCAGGCAGCAGGGTGGGTCAGTGTAACTGCAGCCCATGTACTGGTTTCAATGAGGTTGGGGTGGGGTCTTTGAAGATTTCTGCTGGTAATGGGGCCAGGCCTGGAAGTAGTCTTTGGGCATCTCTCCGGTGGTTACGTAGGGTCCTTGCCTGAGGGAAGGCTTAATGAGGATTCATGGATAAGTTGGGGCAGTGCTGCTCTGTCGGGGTCCTGCCTTGCAGAGCCCTAGCACTTGGGTCTCCACTGCAGCCAGAGAGCTCCTCTCACAGATGTGCAGGGCTCATGTCCCCCAGAACCACCCTTAGCTGGGCCCTGGGGGGCTGCAATGAGGCACTCTGGGTAACCTGGAGAAGACTTGGTGCCATCTCCCCTAACCCTGTGCTACCCTTGCCCTGACCTGCCCCTGTGCCTCCCTGCTCATCCCAGAGGCAGACGGCACTGGAGAGGCAGCTGCTGATGTTCCAGTGCAAGGGGGTGCGGCAAGTCCTGGAGAAACATGAGCGCATCCTGCTGGCCCGGCTCAGAGACCTGGACACAGAGATTGTGAGGAGGAGGGAAGAAAATGTTGCCCGCCTGTGCAAGGAGACTGCTTGCCTGAGCACCCTGATCATGGAGCTGGAGGGGAAGTGTCAACAGCAGGTGAGACTAGGTCAGACATGCCCCAGCGCCCAGACCAGATAGGTGATGGCCTCTGAGTCCCAGGCAGCTCTTAGGTTGATGCAGGGTAGGAGGTGCGTAAGAGTGTGTGCATGGCCTCAGGACTTTAGCTGCAGGAAGAGAGGGGTTGGGTAGCAGGGGAAACAAGGTGGGGGATGAAGTGCTAGTCCTGATCTTACCCTAGTCCTAGGGCCCAGTGCAGAGGGACATCCATCCCTGCAGAGAAGCAGGTGTGAGAGGGGTTGTGCTCCTCGTAGCACAACGAAGGGCTGAGGTGGGCTGTGACAGTGACTCTCTGTTCTGTTTCTCATCCCCTCCAGGATATCAGCAGCTCTGTGAGCAGGTACATTTTGGTTTCAGCTCTCCCCTTACATCCCATTGGCCAAGACTAGGCTGCAGCCTCAGCCATCAGCTCCCACCTGTGGTGCAGTCTGTGCTCTGGATCCAGCTTCTTTCATCCTTGTGGCCCTGGAGCTGCTGCTGCCACCCTGTGACCCAGCCTGGGCAGGAGATTCCCCACAGCCCTGGGCTGAATAAGCCCTTCCCTGGGGTCTGGTTTTGAGCTGGCCTCTGTAGTGGCTGAAAGTCTGTCCTGTCTGTGGGGCTGAGGGGTTTGTGGGGAGAAAATAAAGTGTGTCATCCCATCCCCAGGGGGACAGAGTCCATGGGCAGAGAGCTCACCAGGGACCAGGCCCCTTGGAGGCTGGAAAAGAAACTGAGGAGCAGCTGGACCTGGAGAATGGGCCCCTCAGTCCCACGAGCAGCCTCTTCCTATCCCAGAGGGGCCTGTGGTCAGGCCACATGTTGAGGGCGGTGTTGGTGGTGCCTTTTCACCAGGGGTGCACCGCCATCCTCAGGGGGTGCATGTCCACGTGCACCCCCTACGCATTGCCAATGTGTGAGCTGTGACTGCACAAGAAGGTTTCCTGTTAAGATCTGCTTGAATAGCTCTACTTGAAATCTTATGAGTACAAATGTCACCTCCAAGTGCCTGGGGCTGGGAGCCAGCAGACCATGCACACCCCAACTTGCCTGTCAGACAGTGTCTGCTCTGTGTTCCCAGCCCCCAATAATTTCCCCTTGTGGCCTTGAAGATGTGGGAGCTTCTGGCTGAGGATTGAGAAGAATAATTTCTTGTGTGTCTCTGTAGGGGTGAGATAATGTCTCTGCATCCAGCCCTCAAGTTCCCCGAGCTGGCGAAGAGAATCCGTGATTTCCGTGGAGAGAACAAGCTGCAGGAGGCTCTGACGAGATCCCTGGGTAAGGGCCACTTCCAGGGACTCTGTCTCATTGTACTGGTATACAGGCAGGGGAAGGGGGAGAGGGTCCTGCAGGGGAATCTGTGCAGCTGAGTTATTGGAGCTCTCGTGTTACTGTTCCCAAAGGACCAGAGCTGGTGTCAGTGGCCGGTGCTCCAGCCCAGAGTAGCCCAAAACCTGGGGAAGGGCTGCTCTTGCTGTATACAAGTGCCCTGTGTTTCACTCTGGGATTCGCTGCTCTACACTTAGGTCCTGCCACTCGGGGCTGGGACTCTGGAGCAAGAGGCCCCAGTCTGAATAGAGGCACACAGGGAGGGAGCCAGGGGTTCACTTCTAAGAGGCATTTGTTCTGGTGCATGAATCCCAGCCTTGGATTACCAGCAACACCTGCCAGCAGGGGCCTGGGGAGAGCTGAAGTGAATTCCCAGAGCAACCCAAGCAAGTCCTCACGGGGAGGGTTTGTCTGGATTGTGGAGCTCCAGAAGAGCTGGTCTGAGAGGAGAGGGCCATTTGCTGCCTAGTCCTCCCTTTCTGCATGCAGGAGGTCAAAGGGAGTGTGCTGTCCCCAGCACCTGACCTGTGACAACACCCAGCTATGAGGGGGAAGAGCACCCACCAGTGCAGTGGAGGTTTTGGCTGCTTGGATATGACATATTACCAAAGATGGATTCTGGGCCAGATGTTTAGTGCCCTGGACATTCAGAGAGGAAGTTTCATGGATCCCAGCTGATCCCCTTGGACAATGGCAACTCCTCTGTTAGTCCCCATGCTCACCAGTTCTCTAGGGGAGGAGGAGGCCCCTGAGATTCCTTACCAGTGTCAGTGTTAAATCAGGACCATGATGGAGACTAATACCTGACTTTTTCTCTTTCCTTGCAGAGCGGCTGGATGCAGAGAGTGGTGAGAGTCCTGTGGAAACACTTTAGGGGAGGGAGCAGTGTCCAGTGAATGGCTGCTCCTGTGTATAGGGAAGCTCTGGGCTGAGCAGTGTGAAGTGATCTCCAGAGGACAGAAACCATCTGTGGGGGGGAGGGGGGGGCATGTGACAAGGACATGGGTCAAAACAGCTGAGGGAAATTTGGACCATTCTCATGATCACCCACAGTGAGGCAGTGCAGAGCTGGGGGAGGAGGCCCATGGGTGGGCCTGGTGAGAGCTGCTGCTGCACTGTCAGACCTGTGCAAGTCACTGTGAAATGACAACAGTCGGACACACAAGCACCCAAACACATGGAAGGGCCAAGCGTGGGCTGCTGGGAAAGAAGGGTTCAGAACTGCATCCCCAAATATCAGTGCATGGAGAAGTGACATCTTAACAGTGACACCAATCCCCCTTGATGTCCCCGACATGATTCTAGGATGTTCCTACCCAGAGAGGACCATGGTCCCGGCAGGATTGGGTTGCTGAGAGGACCCTCCCTTAGGGATGTCCTCAGTTGTGGGTGTTTCAGTTCTGCCCTGGCTGCTGCAGGGTCATGGGGGCCAAATGATTTATCCCTGTCTCCTCACTTGCCCCAATTCCCAGGCAGGCTCAGGAGTTTGACTGGGTGGGGATAGCAGAGTTTGCCCCAGTCTCTTTGAACTGGGTCCTGCTGCGGCGACTCTGCTGTGTGAATTCTCACCCTGCTCTCTGCTGGTTGATTCCAGGATTCAGAAGAGTCCAAGCACATGCAGGTGAGTGACCTGTCCTCATATCAGTGACCCCAGTCTTCTTCTCTTGGACACCTTTGTTCCCTTCAGCCACTTCTTCCACTATTGGGATGCCCCAAACATGAGCTTTGTTGCTGTGACCAGAAAGAATCACTGCATCCCTGCTGCCTTCTCCCCTCACTGTCCCCAGCCCTGCACTATCTATGCCTGCTGGACCCTGGGCAGGGTTGGTTGGTCAGACCTCAGGGTGCGTTGGGATCCAGAGCCCATCACCTTGATGCCATCTGACCCTTACATAGCTCTTACTACTGCCAGTCCATCCTGTCTCTGCCCACACACTCAACTAGAGTCCAGCAGCAATCCCATGGACCTGCCTTGGGATACTTGTGCCTGAGGTTGAAAGATTGATAGGTCAGTCCTTAAGAGGCTTTGATGACCCAGGTCTATTCTGTGGTGGGGATGACCCCACAGGCTCTCAATGAATAAGGCAGACTCTACAGGGAAACCTGGTGTCTCCCACTTCATGGCCACACACATGCCCAGACACCATCCCCTTGTGCGTCAGATGAGCCTGGAACATGGGGAGGGCCTACGCTGGGCCAGTCTGCCTCCAAATGAGGTGTGAGAGCTCCAGCCTTGCAGGGATCCCTCAACCCTGCCCTGGTTCTATGTCTGGCTGGTTGTGGAGGGCAAACACGGTGGAAGACGCAGGCATCCTGGGGCTCTGAGCCAGGCTCTGGGAGCAGTGCACATGCTGGGGATGCCCAGGTGCAGCTGGAGCAGGTGTGTGCATCTCTTAGCCACTGGGGGAGTAATTAGTCTGGGCAGACAGGTGAAACTGGAGCCAAGTCTCCATCTTCAGTCTAGCTGTCAAGACGGAAACCAAGAGGAATTTTCTCCAAGAGGCAAATGTCAGAGCAGGTAATGGGGACAGAACTGAGGGAAAGATAACTTTCACACGGGTGCTCTGAAAAGACCTCCCACCCTGCTCACTCTCCCCTTCCTGCCCTTCCCTGGGTGCTGGTGTTGGTCTTCTGGCATTTCCTAGGGGGGGATTTCCTCAGGTCTTAAATGGCTGAGGAACCCTTTCTGAAGCTTCTGAGCCTTTTGGCTCAGATCAAGTGTAGCCTATGTTTACTTAGGGGAAACGCCATGATCACCATGGCAGCTTCCTAGTCGCACCTGAGGAAGACTGCTATGCAGGCATGGGATAGTACCTGTGTACGTAATGTATAGTTAACCTTGGCTTTATGCCCACTTTATGGAAATGGGAGACTCCTCCTGAGCTTGCTTCTGGGGCCTTATGGCTAAGGGCAAGCAAAACTCGGGGGCATCCGAACCCCAATCCTGCAGGCTTGGGTCTGTAAGTAGGATGCCTGCCAAAGAATTTGGGAACATCTGAAGCCCCAGGTGGGTGTGGAGGATATCTGCTTGTTGTAGGGTCACGTGTGGTTATGGTCTCATTCACAGCTTTGGAATTGCATTGGCCAATTTGACTTAGAATATGGAATTTTTTTTAAAAACCCAACCTTTTGGAACCTGTTAGGAGCAGAAATCATTAGTCACTGACATGTTTGAAGCCCCTGTCTGTCTCTGCAGATACTGGTGCAGTGGGGCTGTTCTATGTAACAGCTCAACCCCATGGGGATGGGACTGCTCAATACTTGGCAGGCAGGAGACACTGTAGCCTGCTCGCCCTTCCCCACTTGTCCTTCCCCTACTTTGGGGTTTGGTCTCTTGGCATTTCATAGTAGTGAATTTCCACAGGCCTGAAGGGGCCCAGGAGCCCAGGTACTATTGGCAGGTGCTGGAATTTCTGCTCTGAAGTCACTCAGATATGTTTGAAATCCATGTCTGACTGTGCAGTGGGGGCTGGTCCATGTAAGAGCTCAGCCCCATGGGGATGGGACCAGGCAATATGCAAAGGTGGGAGGACGCTGCCTCAGCAGTGTCCCAAGTTCTGTCTCCATGGGGTGTCCTTGGCCCTGTTCATCTGTTCCAGTGCAGACCCTTAGAGCAGACACACTGCAGGAGGCGAACTGAGTCTTGCTCCCAGTAAAGCTGAGCTCAAAGGGAGGGAGTAGTTAGTGGGGAATGGCCTGTCCCTTGTCAGTGGCCCCAGACTCATTAGTAATGGGTCCTGTTCTCCTGTTCTTAGTTCTCCTTGCCAGTGCTCCCCGCTGCCCTTCCCCTTCCCTCCCCCACCCAGTGAGCCCAGCCCTGATGCACGGCTCTCCCCTGGGCTGGGCTCGGTGAGGGAGGAGCTGGGTGTGGGGCTGCCCTGGCTGCAGATCTGTGCCCATAGGGCTGGGGACATAGAGGGTCCCAGGTGGGGCAGAGCAGCCCAGCCTGTGGTGGGGAGGGGCAGGCACCAACCTGCTGTTAGCAATAAACCAAGTAAACCAGCCCTCAAAGGCAATGGTGATTTCCCATCAGGGACTGAATTGTGATTCCTGGGGATGCAGCTAATTCCCTGTGATCTCAGGGACCCACCTGCCTAGGCCTTAGACCTGTGACTCTCTCCTCAGTGGACGTGACTCTGGACCCAGGCACAGCTCATCCCAACCTTATCCTGTCTGAGGATCGGAAACGTGTGAGAGTTGGAGACAGACGACAGCATCTGCTGGACAATCCTGAGAGATTTGATACTTCTATCTCTGTCCTGGGCTCGGAGGGGTTCACAGGCGGGAGGCACTACTGGGAGGTGGAGGTGGGAGACAAGACGAGCTGGGACGTAGGTGTGTGCAGGGAGTCTGTGCGCAGGAAGGGAAAGGTCACACTGACACCTGGCAAAGGGTACTGGGCCCTGTGTCTGCGGGATGGGGGATACAAGGCCTGCATCTCTCCCCTGATCCCTCTCCCTGTGCGTGTGTGTCCCAGGCGGGTGGGGGTTTTCCTGGACTACGAGGCGGGTGAGGTCTCATTTTACAATGTGACTGACAGGTCCCATCTCTTCACATTCATTCACACCTTCTCTAGGACCCTGCGCCCTTTCTTCAGTCCTTGTGTTAATGCTAGGGGCACCAACGCAGCTCCCCTGATCCTGTGCTCAGTTCCAGCTCAGACCTGAGGGAGTCCCTGTCACTGCCATGACATGTGTGGCACAGACTGTCCCCTCCCCATGCTGTCGTATTGCCAGCCCCTCCGGTGCCCCCAGGGTGGGGTTTGGGGTAGGGTGGGGAGGGGAGGGGAGGGGCAGGGCAGGGCTGGGGTCATCTCCCAATCCTCACATTTACAGTACCACCCACTGGAAGGTACCATCTCCAAATTCTTATTCTTGACTTACAGATCACTGCAGTCCCTCTGAATTTATAACGTTTTTCATAGATTCATAGACTCATAGATTGTAGAGTCGGAAGGGAGCACAATGGATCATCGTGTCCAACCCCCTGCCCCTGGCAGGAAAGAGGACCAAGGTCAGATGACCCCAGCCAGGTGACTATCTAGCCTCCTCTTGAAGACCTCCAAGCTAGGTGACAGCACCACCTCTCTTGGAAGCCTGTTCCAGGCTCTGGCCACCTTCACTGTAAAAACTTTCTTCCTAATGTCTAACCTAAATCTACTCTCCACTAGTTTGCACCCATTATTCCTAGTTACTCCCTGGGGTGCTCTGGTAAACAGCGCATCCCCAATTCCCTGCTGTCCTCCCCTGATAAATTTATAGGTGGCCACAAGGTCCCCCCTCAGCCATCTTTTGTATAGGCTGGAGAGATCTAGATCTCTCAACCTGTCCTCGTAGGGTCTTTCATGGACACCACTGATCATGTGGGTGGCCGTCTTCTGAACCCTTTCCAGATCCTCCGTGTCCCTCTTGAAGTGTGGCGCCCAAAACTGGACGCAGTACTCCAACTGTGGCCTGACTAATGCCACATAGAGGGGGAGCATCATCTCCCTAGATCTGTTGGTCATGCTTCTGCTAATACACGACAAGGTGCGATTGGCTTTGTTGATGGCCCCATTGCACTGCCAGCTCATGTTCATCTTGGAGTCAACTCTGACTCCAAGATCTCTCTCAGCCTCTGAGCTGCTGAGGAGGACATCCCCCAACCTGTAGGTGTGCTGGGGATTCCTCCTCCCTAGGTGGAGTGCCTTACATTTATCTTTGTTGAATTGCATCCTATTACATTCCACCAATTGATCTAACCTGTCCAGGTCAGTCTGTAACTCCTCCCTGCCCTCTGGTGTATTAACTTTGCCCCATAATTTGGTATCATTTGTGAACTTGGAGAGGGTGCTCAGCACACCCTCGTCCAAATCGCTGGTGAAGATATTAAATAATACTGGCCCAAGGACCGAAACCTGTGGGACCCCACTGCCCACCTCCTTCTGGGTTGAATATGACCCATCTACCACCACTCTCCGGTGCGGTTCCTGAGCCAGTTGGCCACCCACCTGACTGTGCAGGCATCCACTCCACAGCCTGTTAGTTTCCCTATGAGAATAGGATGCAAAACTGTGTCGAAGGCCTTCCTAAATTCCAGGTAGATGACATCGGCCTCCACTCCTGTGTCTAGGCAGTGTGTGACCTGGTCATAAAAGGCTAAAAGGTTTGTCAGGCAGCATCTGCCTGGGAGGAATCTGTGCTGATTTCCTTTCAGCATTGTTTCCCCTGCTGGGCTTTCACAAATACGCTCTTTGAAGATTTTTTCCAGTATTTTCCCAGGGATAGAGGTATAGAGCTATAGTATCTTTGTTACCATGCGTTCCCCTCTCAGCACTGCTGTCCCTTCCCTTCCCCTCCCCTTCCTCCATTATCTCTCTTTTATATTAAAAAAGACCCTCTGCCTTGGACAGCCTGCTCTCTGCATGTCCTTTCATAGCGTCTGATGAGGTGACAACTTCTGCATGAAAGCTGATATATCTTGAATTCAATAGTTCTAGTGCTGCTCAAGCTTTCCGGTGGGCAAGTCCAAGGCCGTGCACCACATCTGGGGCTGCAAGTATGACTGGGCTGCATAAGCGTCCCCAGACCCAGTGCACGTAACATGATGTCTCAGTGCCCTGGGTACAAGGATGCCTGGGTGGCTCCGGATGAGTGTGTGTGTGTCAGGAGGTTTGATCAGGTCATAGCAGTGCAGCGGTTTTTAGTTTTTTCACCTCCTGCCCCTGGGGTCAGTGCCCAGGGCAGAAGTCCCAGCCCGTCCGCCAACCCTCACTTCATTCTGCTGCTGTACTGCCGAATTTCTGGACGAATGGAAACCCCGCAGGATGGATAACTTGGCTCTGCAGGCTGGGTCTGGCCCATTGGGCTTTGGGGTTGAGCACCCCTGAGTTTATAGGGGGCATATTTGCTGTCCCTTTTGCCTGACCTCAGACTAACATGGCTAACTACTCTCAGCCCAGATCAGTGGTTCTCAAACTTTTAAAATCAAGATGACCCATCGTGAGACTCAAGGCATTCTTGGAAAATACCAGCTCTTCACTTTCACTCAATTTTTTGCTATGGAAAAATGATACAGCCATTCTTCTCTTGTAAAGATCAAAAACGTGCCACAACAGATCAGAATGGTCTTGCCACTATGGATTCCTATTTGAACTCTTTGGGTTGGTTTTGTGAATTATGTGGAGGTGTTTGCACACCTTTCAGTGCTAAGGATCTCACAGCACTGGGCTGAGAATCACTGGTTCAGATCAAACTGATATCAAAGCCCCTTTACACCCCAACATCTCCACTGTCCTGGGTGAGAGACTGCCTGTGTGACCCCATCAATATCTGTGTGCTGATGCCTGTTACTACAAGGCCTATGAGATCTGCTGATGGTCAGGGGCAGGAAGAGTCTGATCCAAAATCAGCTGCTGTCCCAGTGATTGAGGGGGAGATAAACGGCTTCACATCCTCCTCCCTGGGACGAAGACCAGAGCAATGTAAACTTTTCCCTGCACTGGCAAGGCCCCACTCAGTGTTACCCACTCCTCAGTACAAGGGGATTGTGGAAAGTGTCCATTCTTTTTTCCCCTCATTTTAGAATCACTTTTTGGTGGATTAATATTTCTTTTCTTCCTTGAATGTTCAAAATAACTTCATACCTCCTTCCTGCCTGTCTGTGGAGCTGTGCTGCTTTGTTGTCACTGCATACATGGGCCACAGGTGTTTTCCCTAGGTTTCCCCCTGCATGCAAGTGCCTGTTATGAGCAAGACATGGGCTGCAATAGCTGTCAGCACAGGGCTGAAGTTGCTTTTTAGGGAGAATTTCCCATGATTGGTCTGAGTGCTTTGGTGGCAGGAACAGCCCATCCTGGGGCCTCTGGGATGCAGTATCTCTGTAATGGGTGGATGGTAGGGAAAAAACACGCTAGGTAA